GAAAAATTATTGAGGTCACATAATATAAAAACTCGAAGGAAAAATATGTCTATAAATGATTATACCCCATAAGGTATTGAGCTATAAATCTATAGTTATAATTAAATACTATATTGATTTATATATGCATTTATTTATTATCAGACACTAAGACGTAGCAGCGAAGGTTAATTTATAGTTTTAATATGCTGAAAACTAGTTATTTAACATTTTTATAAATTTATAATAATTAAAAATAACATTTACAAATCATCCAAATAGTACAGTAGTTGATTAAAACAAAAAAAAACACACACATCCCTTAGAGTTTTAAGAATTAATACATAAATCTTGAATTTTTTTTAAATAAACTTAAAATGAATACTTTATAAAGTTTGACTTTTTAAATACAGCGAACGGTGGTCGGTTGTTGTTGTAAATTTGTAGCTCTGAAATATTAATAAAATGATAAATTTACAATGCTATGAAAATAGAACATGTAAAATTATATAAAATGTAATATCCTTCAGTTGGGTTAGTCAGCAGTCTTTAAAAATAATTGTTAGGTGTACCTAAAAGTGATCAAATTACTTTATAGAAAACTCTTCAGAATTTATTTCTAAGATATCTTTTTATCATTTATCTTTTCTAACGAAACAACCTGCAATTTACCACGATCAAAAGGTAATTTTCCCCTTTTTTTTATTTAGATACTATAAACTTGCACGAGATCTACCTTAAGTCAAATTTTTAAACCACTGTCACAAATCATGACATATGGATATAGTAATGTAACAGAGTTCAGCATTCATAGCTTAAAGAATATTCTATAAATATAATTTAAATTATTGAACTTATTATCAATAAGCACGTTATTATTTTAAGTAGAAAAATATGTCATGTTTTGAGACGGTTTTTTCGAATTTAAAAAGAAAGGGGTATTTTTTATTCACGCCTGAAAGGCGCTATAATCGGTCATAAATGTAAAAAGTTCATTCCTTTCGCCCTTAAACATGCCCTGCTGTTATACTCAACAATACAGTTATAACTACTCAAAATGAGACAAAATATCTTGGTTTAATACTAGACAAACGTCTATCCTGGGGCCTCACCTCAAACGGAAAAATCAAATATTAGATTACAAATTTTAGCCCGATGATCAAATCCAACTTACCACTCAAGACTAAATTATACCTATATACAAGTCAATCATACGAACAATATGGGCTTACGGAATTCAAGTATGGGATCCAGCTAAACCTTCAACAATAAGATAATACAGGCCAATACAGGCGTCCCAAATTATATCACTACAAATGATTAGGTGTTGCCAATGGGTGACTTAACAATCAAAACAATATATTATAATAGAACGAAAAATCTGTATGGTTGAACATATTACTTGCCTAGAGGCTGCAAATTTTAAATCCACCACCTGCTGGTGTTGTAGCTGTATATTTATATTTTTTTAAAAACCATTAGGCTATAAAATTCGTGCCAAAACATACCACCATCTAGAAATAATTTTAAAGTATTCATATTAAAATGTATCAAACTATGCCGTAATCAATTGTGTGGTTGCAATTATTATTCTTGTGTTTTTATGTACAATGTTTGGCCATAACAAATATTATAAAAAAACATCTAAAATTTGGTTAAAAAATAATTTAAAATCGTAAAAAAAAAAATCATAGGCAATGTCAGAAAATGAATATTTCAGTAATTATTAAAATTACTCTAAGCGTTATAAAATTGTTTTGTAACATATTTCGTAGAAAAAGAAGATAAAAGCGTCTTGGATTTTTAAAACTCTTTCTTCCTACGTACCCAGCAATGGTACAGTTATCTCTTTAATGTCCTTATCATTTAGTCTATATTGCTTTTGGTTCCTCCGTAAGTAATCTTTAACACTTGTCTTGTTAACTTTAATTCTGTTGATGTCATGCCCTAATATACTATGTTGTTTTTTAGTAACTAAGTACATCTCCTTACGTACGTCGTCATGAATTTTTACGAGTTGCTAAAATCATAAAGTTTTGGTTTTTAATACACAATGTTAAAACCACTATTATAGAAATAATTAATTTAGAATTATTACTATAATATTATTCACTAGATTAATAGAGTTACAAATACAGGGTGATTCAAAAAGAATGAACCGATTCCATGATCAAATATTTTGTAAGTAAACTCTGTTACATGGCTGAAGCAGTTTTTCATTTTAAAATGCTCTAATTGATAGGCTCCAGTGGGGAGGTGCCCCATCTTGTTGAAAAATGTATTTATTTGAATCAGCTTCCGTTAAAGGGAAGAGCCCTTTCGTAGCAAATCCTCGATGGTTTGCCCTATAACAGAGTTTCCCTAGAAGAAAAATGGGCCATAAACCTTGTTGCAGGTTACAGCACAGAAAACGTTTCCTTAGGAGACCAATGCACCTGGTGCAGTCACGTAGCAACCATTTGAAACTTAGAAACCCAATCTTTCAAACAGCCACTTCCTCATTCTGATTCATACATTTACTAAAATATTTGATCATGGAATCGGTTCATTCTTTTTGCATCACCCTGTATAATTTTTTTTAATGTTTCATACTATATAAGGATAGAAAAAAATTTAATTACCTCAAAAGTGAGTTTTGATGTTACTAATGATATAAATTCCTCTTCCGACATTCTAGAACCTAGAAATTATTATGAAAGTATTAACAATAAAATTCACCAAACTATATTATGCTGTAACGGATGGAGTGGTTGTAATTATTATTATTATTGCGTTTTTATGAACAACACATGGTTATTAAGAGTACTACATGTCAAAATCACCGCTTGTTCCGTTTTAAAGACAGCCAAATTTCACGTTAAAAAAAAAATTCTTGGGGAACGTCGTAAATTAGCATAACCATTTTAACAGTTTTTTATAACATAGTTTGTAAAATAAAAAAACATAAAAGCGTTTTATATTTTTTTAATAATTTGGTTTTCCTTGTTTTTTTTTCTTTTACTCCAGACGCCTTCTTCATAATTGTTTAAATATAGTATAAATACTCCTCAGAAATGTTGGAAAAAACACACTACCAATTATCCAATTACCAGCTATCAATATTTATTTATGTACAAAACATTCAAGTGATTATAAGTTTTCACATGTATATATTTTACAATATCAATTAATGAATTATTATTATTCAACGTACTCCACACGGCACCAAGTATCTTTTGGGCATCCGGTTTAGAAATTCCAAAATCATTGTGCACGTTTGGTTGTCTTAAGCAATTTCTTACTGCATCCTCGGTAAAACCATTGCGACTTGCCCAACTTCCTTCTGAACACCCTCTATATAACCTGGCTAGCTCCTAAATTTATTACATTTCTATTTTTAATACACAATGTGTATACTACAGTTTTAAAATTAATATGTCTGGAATTATCACTAGTGTATCAATTAATGGATTTGTAGAGAATAACATTTTTATTTTTTAATGAATCATATAATTAGATGGAATAATTTCGAATTACCTTTGGATCTTCGCAAATTCCACCATTTGCCGTATAAAAATGAACAAACAAATAAAAAAACATAATACAATTTTTAAAGTTCATTATTGTGTTTTTTTTTTTTCAATGCGTAAGACAATCGAATACTGTTTCGCAGTTGTTTAAAACTTAAAATGGCTTCTGTTATAGCGAATTCAGTGTAAAACGTATAAAAGTTGTATAAACGCAAAAGTATTTTGTTTGTTCAATGTAGTTAAGAACTCAATTTTAAAATAAATAATCGTCCATAGCCTATGATATGTAAACAAAAATAGTAGTTGTTTTGAACTTGTAACAAAACTTTATATTTAAGCTTTTTGTAAATCAAACGTTTTATAGAAAAACGATTTGTTTCTGTAAACTACTTCCATATTGAAATTATATATGTATTAATATGATACTATAGTGCAAGCAAATTCAAATTTTAATAAAGTTTGACTACAGATTTTTAAAAATAATAGTGTATATATTAGTTCTAATCTAAATCTACCTTCTGCCTAATTATCATAACTTTAAGCCTAAAACTTAATCTAAAAAAGCGATATAATGAAAAAGTTTATTATATAAAAGGCATAAGTTAATAGGTATTTTTAATTGTAATCAAATGTGTACTAGTAGTATAATATCTGTTGCTTTTTGCTTTCAACAGATAAATTTGTATTTAGGTAAAGTCGTTGCCAGATAACCTGGCACGTCTGTTGCGGCGCGAAAATGCAAAGCCCTGGGTTCTCTGTATTTTATGTTGTTTTTTAGTCTATTAAACCTTGTCGAATCATAGTTGATATTTTATTTTATAAAATTTATAATTATAATGATAATAGTAATACATTTGCTGATGAGAACGTTTAATAATTTCCATTACTTCAACAATACTCATGCACATTATTTTTCTACTTTTTTGCTGCATGTTTAGATATTTAAAGGCCTCAGTCTCTGTACAACATATTTTTTAATTAATGTAATATAAATAAAAACATATTCTGATTAGACCTATACCTCCAGTCTAATTTTCAACATTTAAATCTTCCAGGAATTAATTTTCTTCCTATTTTAGTACTACACTCAAATTAACAGTTAAAATTAAATACTACATTGATTTCTATATGCATTTATTTACTATCGGAAACTAAGACGTAGCAGCTAAGGTTAATTTATAATTTTAATATGATAAAAACAAGTTACTTAACATTTTTAAAAATTTATAATAATTAAAAAAAAACATTTACAAATTACCCATATAGTACAGTAATTGATTGAAACCCCCCCAAAAACACACACCCTTTAAAATTGTATGAATTAATACATAAAATTTGAATTTTTATTTAAATAAACTTAAATTAAATACTTTAAAAATATTGAATTTTTGAATACAGTGAACGGCGACAGAATGTTGTAGTAAATTTATAACCCTGAAAATTGATATAAAAAAAATTTACAATGCGATAATAATGCAATATGTAAAATTATATAAAATGTAATATCCTTCAGCTGAGGAAGAAACAAAGAATTTGTAAGGGTGAACAAATTACTTGCCTAGGGGCTGCAAATGTTTAAGTCCACCACCGGCTGGCGTTGTAGCGTATGTACATTATTTTTTGAAAACCATTAACCAACGAAATTCGTTCAATGACATATTACGTTCTAGAAATCATTTTAAAAGTACTCGCATTAAAATTGATCAAACTATACAATTCTGTAAAGGAATGAGTAGTTGCAATTTTCGTTATTGTTTTTTTATGTACATGTGTGGCCATAACAGATATTATGAAAACCCATCCAAAATCGATAATTTTTTCTGTCCGCTTATTTAGTTTTTAAGTAATTTAAAATCGTGTCCAAAAAAAAAAATCATAAAATAAATATTACTATATAAAATTAAAATCAGTCTAACCGTCATAAAATTGTTTTGTAACATATTTCCTAGAAAAAGAAGATAAAAGTGTTTTAGATTTTTAAAACTTGTTCTGTCTACGTACTCTTCAATGGTGCGGTTAACTCTTCGATTTCATCATCATTGAGTCCATATTTGCCTTTATTCTTCAGTAAATACTCTTTAACTCTTTTCTTGTTAACTTTTAAGCTTACGTAGATGTTACAACGTACAAATTTTCTTTGTTTTGCAGTCTTCACAACTATGTCATAATACATTGTATAGAGTTGCTAAACCCATTAAATTTTTGTTTTTAATTCAAAACGTGTAAAGTACTACAATTATGGAAATAATTAATCTAGAATTATTGCAATTATGTTATTCACTAGGTTTATAGGGTATTTAGTTATTATATTTTTTTTAATGTATCATATACTGGTATAGAAAAAATTATAATTACCTTATAAGTAAATTTTGCTGTTATTGTTGCTATAAATTGTTCTTCCGTCATTTCAAAGGCTAGAAATCATTATAAAAGTATTTACATTAAATTTTACCACACTATATTATAATTTAACACGAGGAGCGTTTATATGAACAATATTAGCCATTAAGGGAACTAAATAACAAAATCACCTCAAAACAATAATTTTATTTGTCTGCTTGTTCAGTTTTATAATTAACTAAAATCACGATGAAAAAAATGCCTTAGAGATTGTCGTTAAATGAATATTTCAATATTAATTACCATAAGTGTAACCATTATAAAACGTTAAAACCTCGAAAAGGTTGGAAAAACCACACTTTCCAATACCTATCGATATTTATAACACCATCAAAGAGATTATTTGTGTTCATATTTTACATGTATATATTTTACAATATCTATTAATGAATTATTTTTATTATTCAACGTACTCAACATTGAACCGAGTATCTTTTGTTCGTCAAATATAGAAATTCCAAATTCATCGATCACGTTTGCTTTACTTATGTACTCCCTAACTGCAGCCTTGGTAACACCTTTGCCTTCTTCTAAAATCCTTTTATAAAGTTTGCCTAGTTCCTAAAATTATTACATATCTATTTTCAATACACAATTTGAATACTATTGCTTTGGAATTAATTTGTCTCGAATTGTTAGTAGTATATTAATCAAAAGATTTATAGAAAATTACATTTTTTTTTTTAATGAAATATGAATTAGATAGAAAAAATTCAAATTACCGTTGGATCTTCGCAAATTCCGCCATTTGCCGTATAAAAATGAACAAACAAATTTAAAAAAATAATACAATTTTTGAAGTTCATTATTGTGTTTCTTTTTTCAATGCGTAAGAAAATCGAATAATGTTTCGCAGTTGTTTAAAACTTAAAATGGCTTCTGTTATAGCGAATTCAGTGTAAAACGTATAAAAGTTGTATAAACGCAAAAGTATTTTGTTTGTACAATGTAGTTAAAAACTCAATTTTAAAATAAATAAGCATGGCTATAGCCTATAAGTCATAAAAAATAGTTGTTTTGCCGCTTGACAAATACAGAACATTTAGCTATTAACTAGTTTACTAATGCGTCTTGTAACAAAATGAATTTTTTTAGTTTATTGTAAACCAAACGTTTTATAGTAAAACGATTTGTTTCTGTAAACCACATCCATACTGATATTTTTCTATTAGAGTATTAGACGTTTTATTATTTATATTAAGTTGCTTTTAATATGATTACATTGAGAAAACTACCCATGTTAAGTTAGGAATCCTGGATTTTATTCCGCTGTTGTTTTATCGGCTATACATTATTACTATAAGCTGTAACTACAAATTTGTTTTTTTTAATCCATAGCTGAGGTTCGAAATTGTATAATCATCGAGTAATGGTATCTGAGAAATACCTAGTTTTATATTAATGACGATAATAGATTGGTCACAATAACAGATAATTGGAGATAAATAAACCTGGAGTATCACTGGTCTTCTATTATAACAAGAGTTTGTTTTAATCATCATTATCAATGATTAATAATATTTTGGGATGTTTCAAGATTGTGACAAATTCTTTATCTACAGACTGGATGAGTCGGTTTAAAGGCCTGAGGCCTCAATTAAGTTCATCATATAATATGTTTTAAAAAACGATACGATCAACATAAACATCTGCTCATATATAGGCAAAATTTACAAATATTACAATACGATATTTTAAAAATGTGTTTACTAGAATATAACATATACTTAGATGAAAAAATATTTGTTTTGATTGGGCTTTATACAAAATTTGTATTTGCTATAATATTTGTAATAATATGATACTATCGTGCAAGCAAATTCAAATTTTAATAAAGGTTGACTACATATTTTTCAAAAAATTGTTGTATATATTAGTTTTAATCTAAATCCACCTTTTGCCTAATTATCATAACTTTAAGCATAATTCTTCATCTAAAAGAGCGATATAAAGAAAAAGTTTATTATATAATAGGCATAAGTTAATAGGCATTTTTAATTGTAATCAAATGTGTACTAGTAGTATAATATCTGTTGCTTTTTGTTTTTTTTACATAAACAGATAAATTTTTATATAGGTAAAGTCGTTACCAGATAACTTGGCACATCTGATGCAGCGCAAAAATTCAAAGCCCTGGATTCTCTGTATTTTATGTTGTTTTTTGTCTATTATACCTTGTCGGAGTATAGTTGATTTTTATAAAATTTATAATTATAATAATAATAGTAATACATTTGCTGATGAGTAACCTTAATAGTTTTTTCGTTTAATACAAAAAAAGTTTTTCCATTACATTAACAATACTCATGCACATTATTTTCTTACTTATTTGCTGCACGTTTAGATATTTAAGAGGCCTCAGTCTCTGTACAACATATTTTTTGATCAATGTAGTATAAATAAAAACATATTCTGATTATACCTATACACTCCAGTCTAATTTTCAACTCTAAAAACTTCCTGGTGTTAATTTTCTTCCTATTTTGATACTACACTCAAATTTACAGTTAAAATTAAATACTATATTGATTTCTATATGCATTTATTTATTATCGGAAACTAAGACGTAGCAGCTAAGGTAAATTTGTAATTTTAATATGCTAAAAACAAGTTATTTAACATTTTTATAAATTTATAATATTTAAAAATAACATTTACAAATTACCCATTACATATAGTACAGTGATTGATTGAAATCCAAAAAAAAACACACACCCTTTAAAGTTTTATGAATTAATTTATTTGTACACCTTTAGATATTAAAGAGGCCTCTATTACCAGGAGTATTACCATTTCTGACAAATAACAAATATTCGATGTAAAATAATTATAACATCTTCATTTCTGATAACCCATTTCAAATATTAAAATTTATCACGAATTGCATATAGCGCGAAATATTACACTTGAAATTCAAGTATAAAGGTATTTAAAATGTAATTTATAAATCCGTAAATTGAAATTTGTCTGCACTTTCCAGTCTAAAATGTCTTAACCATTTTCAAGCCGTTCAATGTTATTACTTTATAGCAAAAATTCAATTTAGATCAAAACCAAAAATAAATACCCCAAGCCATTTTTATATATTAAAATATTATGATCAAACGGACATAAAGTATTCATTAAGCATAATATAATTTAACAAAGTAATAAGTTAAAACAAATTACCAACAAAATCAGATGATATGGCTTTTATAAACGTGTAGGCATTCCTACAATTTCTGTTGTTTATTTCAAACCGATATATTTATACATGAGTATTCTTAATATTTTTTGCGTTTAATACGAACAAGGTTTTTTTCCATTATTTTAACAATACATTAAAAAAATAATCTTTGCCACGGGTTACGAATCATAAAAAAAGTAGTTGTTTTGCGGTTTGCCAAAAACAAAGAATGTATTGCTTGTTTACACAACCGTCTCATAACATAATATTAGTGCACCTACAGTGCCACAATTACCACATTTGAGGCATCAAACCTAATAGTTTTTAACGGTTAAGTACGGTTGTTTCTTTTTGCGTTTGAGCATTGATTCACTTTTATTAAATATTTATGTCCTTGTTTTTAATATATCATATATTTTTTGTTCGATGTAATATAAATAAACATATATTCAGATTAGACCTACAAACTCCAGTCTAATTTAAATCTTCAAGGAGCTAATTTTTTTTCCTATTTTAATGCTACTCTCAACTCTATACTTAAAATTAAATACTATATTGATTTATAGATGAATTTAATTATTATCAGAAACTAAGACGTATCAGCTAACATTAATTTATAATTTTATTATGATCAAAACTAGTTATTTCACATTTTTATAAATTTATAATAATTAAAAATAAAATTTACAAATCACCCAAATAGTACAGTAATTGATTAAAACAAAAAAAAAACACACACCCTTTAAAGTTTTATGAATTAATACATAAAACTAGAATATTTTTAAATAAACTTAAATTGAATACTTTAAACAGAACGACGATAGAACGTTGTAGTTACTTTAGAGCCCTGAAATATTGATATAATAATAAATTTACAATGCGATAATAATAAAAGTATGTAAAATTTAATATCCTTCAGTTGGGAAAGAAACAAAAAATGTGTAAGAGTGAACATATTACTTGCCTGGGAACTGCAAATGTTTAATGCCACAAACTGCGTGGCGCTGTAGGGTTTTCATATTTTTTGAAAACCATTAATCTATAAAAAGCGTCCCATTTCATAGCACTACCTAGAAATCAGTTTCAAAAGTATTCACATTAAAACTTATCAAACTATACAATGCTGTAAACAGTTGAATGGTGGCAATTATTCTTCAATCAAAAATTTAGATTTTTAATAGTTAAAAATCATGTAAAAAAATGTTTTATGAAGAATGTCATTAAATGAATGTTTTAATATTAATTAAAATCAGTCTAACCATCATAATTGTTTTTTGTAACATATTTCATAGAAAAAGACGATTTTTAAAACCTATTTTTCCTACGTACCCGATAATGGTGCAATTATTTCATTAATTTCATATTTTTTTATTCCATAGTGACGTCTTCTATTCTGTAAATAATCTTCAACATTTTGCTTGTTAACATATTGATTTTTCTTGTAGATTCTATTATAAATATGTTCGAGTTGCTAAAATCATTAAATTTTTGTTTTTAATACGCAATGTGAAAACTACTATTATAGAATTAATGCATCTAGAATTATTTATATTTTATTATTCACTAAGCTTATAGAGTATTTAGTTATTAAAACTTTTTTTTTACAATATATCATATTAGGACAGAAAAAAATCATAATTACCTTATAAGTAAATTTTGATGTTACTAATGCTACAAATTCCTCTTGCGAAATTGGATAATCTAGAAATCATTATAAACGTAACCATATTAAAATTTCCTAAAATATATTATGCTGACTAACGGACGGAGTTGTTGCAATTATTATTATTGAGTTTTTATGAACAATATTTGTTCATTAAAGGTACTACACATCAAAATCACATTAAAAAAAATAATTTTATTCGTCCGCTTGTTTATTTTTTAAACAAACTACAATCATGTTGAAAAAAAAAATCTTGGAAATTTTCGTAAAATGAATACTTCAATATGAATCAATTAGTGTAACCGTTATAAAATGTTTAACATTCTAACACAAATTACAAAAAACACAATAAAAGCGTTTTATATTTTTATAATAACTTGTTCTACCTATTACCTAACTATTTTTACAAACGCCTGCATTTGTTTTTACCTCCGACGCCTTTTTTATAATAATATAAATACTCCTCAGAATTGTTGGAAAAAACCCACTACCCAATCCCTATCGATATTTATTTATGTAAAACACCGAAGTGATCATAAGTTTTCTCATTTCACATACAAATTTTACATAACGATTAATGAATTATTATTATTATTCAACGTACCCCACATAGAGCCGTTTATCTTATCCTCATCAAACCAACTAATACGAAATTCGCTTTGTACTTTTGTTTGCTTTATGAACTTTTTTACTGAATCCTTGGTAACACCTTTGCCTTCATTTGGAATCCTTTGATAAAGTCTGGCTAGTTCCTAAAAATTTTACATTTCTATTTTTAATAAACAATGTAAATACTACTGTTTTAGAATTAATGTGCCTTCATTTAAAATGAAAAAATTTAAAATTATTACCTGTGGGTTTTTGCGAATCTTTGCATTTGCTGTATACAAATGAACACACAAACATAAAAGCATAATACAATTTTTAAAGTTCATTATTGCGTGTTCTTTTTTAGTGCCTAAGATATTCGAATACTATTCTGCCGTTGTTCAAAACTTAAATGATTCTTTTTCGTTTAATGGCTTCTGTTATAGTGTATTCAGTGTAAAGCCTATAAAAGTTGTATAAACGCATATGTATTTTGTTTGTTTAATGTAGTTTAAAATTCAATTCTAGAATAAATAAACATGGCTTTAGCCTACAAATCGTAAAAAAAATAGTAGTTGTTTTGCCGCTTGACAAACACAAAAAATTTAGCTTTTGTTTTAAACCAAAGAAACAATATTCAAACCTATTATTTTTGAACAATAGTTTAATATTGTACTGGTAAAAAGATATAGGAACGAAAACATAATTACAAAGTTGACCTATTTAAAGTGATCAACTCAATACCTTATAGGGTTTAATCATTTATAGATTTTCTTTTTCATTAGAGCTTTATATTACGTGACCTTAATATTTTTTTTGTAGTTTGCAGCCTATGAATCATATAAAAACAGTAGTTGTTTTACAGTTAGAAACAAACAAAAAATGTATATAATACCTACCTGTTTACAAAACTGTCATAAAGCAATAGTACAATAACATGTGTTTTATTTTATGAACAATACTTATGCACATTGTTTTTTTACTTATAAATAACACAAGGTAATTCTTATATCATGAACCAGTCAATATCTCACTGGGTTTAATTAATAATTGAATTTTTTTTCTTCATATTGTTTTCATACAATATGATCTTGATTTTTACAATTTGTTTTTTTGTTTTTACCCCCTCCAAACTTTTTATAACAACTTCTGAAACTTAAAAGGTAACGTATATATTTTATTACCTTTTTAAATAGAGAATAATGTATTATAAATTTTAACTGGTCGATAACCAGTTTTAGATAACTAATTTTAAAGTTATAAGAGTTTAAAAGTTAGGATGGAAGGGGAAGTCTGGTTGGATAATGCGTGCAGATAAAAATAATACTACACTCTACTTCAATGTATTCAATCAATGTATTTAAAATTAGTATAAATAATAGTATTATGAAAATTTTTATTTTATAAACAACCTTTGATAAAGACAATGTTTTTATTTCTTAAAATATAATATTTTAGACTAAAACACTTGGGTCATAAATCAACAACTGCAGTTGTAAAATAACCAAAATGTTATTTCAAAAGAACTGTTATTTTTTATTTTGGTCGATAAGGCATTTTATTTGTTTCTAGTCGAGAATCAAAAATGTTACAAAGCAAAAACCTTAATTATTTAATATAGCTACAAAAATAGTTAATATTTTAACGTGAAGTATTCGTACAGTATATTAAATAAGATATTTTGGTATCGCTTCAAACCGAAAAATTCGTGTTTAGGTGACCTTCATATTTTTTCAGTTTAATATGAAAACATGTTTTTATTTGAATAATACTCGTGTAATAACATTTTTCTGCATGTACTATAACTTAATATATATATATTAACTATATAACTTGATAACGGATTTAAATTCCTGAAAAGTTATTTCCAAATAATTATAACATCATAAAATTTATTTTATTTTATATCGCTACAAAAACGTTGATTAAAACGTTAAAATGTAATGATATTCTGACAGCCTAACTGAGTAAGACCTTGTAAAAAAGTTAATTAAGAACATGTTGATGTTAAGTTATGCCATTTGGGACGATGTTAAAACTTGTTCCCGGAACAATATTATTATAAAATATACATGGTTTAAAATATAATTTTCAGTGGCCCTGGGTTCTTTTTTTTAGTTCAATATGAAAACAAGTTATAATTTGAACAATACACGTACAATTGATATACGTTGATTTATATAGGTATTTATTTATTATCAGAAACCAAAACGTAGCAGCTAAGGGTAATTTATAATATTTTTAATGTGCTGAAAACTAATAATTTAACAATCGTACATTAATTTATTTAAACAAAACAAAAACACACACCCTTTAAAATTTTAAGAATTAATACATAAACCTTGAATTGTTAAATGAATACTTTAAAAAGATGAACTTTTTGAATACAGCGAACGGTTATAGGATGTTGTAGTAAATTTGTAGCCCTGAA